CCTTGTAAGTAACAACTTCTTAAACCTCCATTTCAGCATCTATTAAACAATAAGACCTACATGCTTTGTCAATGCATAAAATACAGTACTGAGCACTCAGGAGCCACTCAATAAAAGGTGTCTGTTACAATCATCATTACTAATAACATCAAGTTCTCCTGACATTCAACAAAATCTCTCAGGAAAATCAAAGGATTAGGGTTTTAGCAGACTAAGTCAAAGCCAAACTGCCCAAATCACAGAGCTCAGAGAATTGGCAACGTAAAACTTAGGAAATAGGCTCCAAGCCTCTGTGTCAAAAAAACAAAAACAAAACAATGAGAAGAACTGCTGCAGGTACTTCTTCAACATGTCTTACTAGTATGATATTATCATTACCATTTCCTGGTAGCCTATTTGTTGGGGTTCCTGCGACACTTGACACCTAGGAATTTCCCAGGCAGTTAGCACAAGCCAGTCAGATTCTCAAGTCCTATTCCTTTGAGGCTAGGGCACTTTCCAAAGGTCTTAAAAGCACCTTCCTTAACATTACCCAAACTTGCGCCACACATAATCAGCAAATGCAGAGAACTCTAAGAGAAAGTTGTTATGAGCATAAAGGAAACTAGCTACCGTTCGCTACACATGGCTCAGTGCCACAGGCAGCACTAAACCTCTGACACCAAAGAAACCCCTGTAATTTCAGCCTATCTAAAAGCAGGCACCCCAGAGAAGAATCCTCACCCAGGCCTCTATGGTGACAGACAAAAAATACATCCTGAGGGAGGCCGAGACACCGGAATGATACATAGGCTAGACAGTGTGCGGTGAGTGAGAGACTTAGCTGAGGTCTGAGAGGCCTTTTTTAAAAAATATATGTTTTTATTGATTTTTAGAGATAGGGGAAGGGGGAGGGAGAGAGAGAACATCAATAGGAGAGAAATATCGATCGGCTGCCTCCTGCACACCTGCTACTGGAGATTGAGCCCGCAACTTGGGCATGTTGATGCCCTGTCTGGGGATCAACCAGGGACCTCTTGGTGCATGGGACCACACTCAATCCGGGCTGAGAGGCCTTTTTTTATACTGTATATCCTTTTATACTGTATATCCTGCATCCTCCCAGTGGTCTCACTACAGCAGGGTGCAGGAGAGCAAAATCCGAGGAAGATTCCACCCCCATGCTCTGGTGAAAAGTTATACAGCCTCCTCACCTCTATAGCAGAAGCTATACAGGCTGCTATCATCATATGGTTTCCTCTTATTTGTATTTCAGTTTTGTTTGTACATCACTTCCTTCAGAAAGCCTTGCCTGACACCTCCCCAGGCCTGGTTAGGTACACCTCCTCTACTCACAGTATTCTCTTCTTACAAAACCTTAATTGACTGTGCTGTAAACAATAGCTATTTCTATGTTTCAACCACTAAACTGGGAGGTAAAAGAGGCCAGGGTCTGTGTTTTGTTCACCACTGTACCTTCCAATACCTTCCACAGTCTCAGGCACATGGTAGACATTAAACAAATGTCTGGTGGGTGAGACAATTAAGGTCACAATGGCAATGCAACTCCAAACCAAGCATTCTATACGCCCACTCTATGATGGAACTCAGAAAACTCAGGGTGTTTTTTTTTGCCAACTAGTGCCCTCTTAGAGCCTTCAAATACAGGATGCTATAGACTGAAAGGCAAGGAAAGAGGTGAAGGGATTTGCTTCTTCCAGTTTGTTTGTTGTTCCTGATAATACTGTCCCAACAATGGCCTTTCATTTATGCAAACATAGTTGGTTCAAGCTTCTTATTTCTTTCCACACTCTAGAATAAGTCTCACTATACCCCCTCAAAAATATCACTATCAAGCAGCTGGCAACTGCTCCTCAGAGGTCTCAATCATAGCTCTATGACGTTTCCTCTTTAAGTTTCTGAGGTAGCAGCAACCAGGCAGCACCCTCTTCACATGTGTCTAGGCCCCAGCTCTGCAGGAATCTTTTTTGGCCTTCTTAATTCTGATAATCCCAATTTTTTCCCTTTGTCCTCTCAAATCTAGGGGTAGTAGCTGCTTCCCGTATTCATTATCTCAGTGTTGCTCCAGTGCTACACTTTTGTTTTGTTTTTTTCATTCCTTAAAAACCTATTTCAACAATTCTGTATAATATATTTTTCAAAATAGTTTGGTTCTGTACCCTGTGTGAAACAAAAGTGACAAAAGCACATTGTGCTCTGGGAGCTCAGAGGCAGACTCATCACAAAAGCTGAGATGATTAAATAACGTGAAATGAGACGTGAGCTGAGTCCTGAAAAATAATTCAGCCAAATATAGAAGAGATGAGGAGAGGGAAGGTATTCCAGGAAGAAGGAACAACATATGCAAAGTTAGGGAGATAAGAGAGAACACAATGGGTCAGGGGAAATGGGTCAGTATGCTTGAGAACAGGATATAAAGGAACAGAAAATGTGGGCAACACAAGAAATAAGGAAGAAGAGCCATTAAAACTCCTTGACTAAATGAGGTTGGGAGATAGATAGTCTTTGAAAAGGAGGGGAAAAGGTGGAGCCCAGGGTTACACCCAGGTGTCATGCTCATGTGACTGGGTGGAAGAACAAGTTTGGGAAGGAGTTGATTAAGTGATAAACATTTTCTGATCAATCTATCAAGAGTGGAAAGAGAAAGCTAGGAACCAGCAGTCTTAGAGACCATATTTTCTGCTGCTACTGTATTTTGTAGTTGTGTGACTTTAATCACTGAACTGTCTTGAGAGTTGGTTTAGTGTCAAGTAATCAGGAGGACAGCAATACAGTAGAACTGTGTATAATCATGAGGATAGTTACAGTTATTGAGCTGCTGTTGTAATAACAACTATAACAATAACAATAGCTAACACTGATTTATTGATTTAAGAACCTGTGCTGCACACTTTACATATATTTTTCATTTTTAAAAAATTTTTATTTTTATTTAAAATATTACAAGTGTCCCTTTATCTCCCCAATGACCCATTCCACCCCATCCCACTCCCCTCCCCAGTCCCACTCCCCACCATTGTCCATGTCCTTGGGTTGTGCATATATGCATATAAATTCTTTGGTTACTCTCTCCCCCTCCACACACCCGCCCTCCTCCATCCCTATGACATTCGTCAGTCTCATCTATGCTTCCATGTCATTGAATCTATTCGGTTCATCAGTTTATTAAGTTCTTTAATTACAAACACAACAGAAACATAATTAGCATTTTGGTACACTTTAAGGGAGGCAGGAAAACCACTGATGTTACACATAGCATGAATAAACTTCATAAAATTATTTCTGAACTTCTACCCTAGACCAATCCACATC